TACCCCTAGGGGCGCTTCTAACCGGGGGCTGACGGTATAGTAGCTTTTTAAAACCATTATCACAACATACCCAATTTCGTCTACCTTATTACCATATCTCGATACGTTACAAATTTTTTTTTTCAGGTACTTTGCTCACATACTTGACGGTGTACTCACTTGGGTGCACCGTTCATCTCATGCCCGTATGGCGGATGAGAAGGACAGCATTCCGTTGAGTGTGTTCACTCATACACGGCTTGATGCATTAATCTCGCCTGATCTGTGCGCACCCTGTCATGTTTGTGTTCATACAGTTTCATAATATTACACTTGATATTGTACAACATATTTTATGTTAACAAGTGCTTTTGATGCTTATTGCTGTTTCATTTTTATATAATCATACATTTTTACATTCATCATCAACATTCATAATTACATAATAACATTCTTTTGCTCAATTTGTTTTACTATTTATTACTTACAGACTTATCCTTCATTGTGGAGCTTACAGTCTCCCAGACGGAGCCTCATTTCTTGCTGTGCGCTCTATGTTCGACGCGTGATGAGAGTGTAAGCTTTGGCTTAACAACATTATACTCATCAACAGACTGGATTCGCATGTTTGTGGAAAAGCAACAGAGGATAACCACGATTTTATTCACATCAACTTCAGTAGTCTTGTAGATCACAGAGGTCTACGTCGACCATCCTCAGATCTATATAACCACAATGTATCGTAAGATCAGTCTTAATTTGCTGTATTAGTTACTCAAGTGTTTGTATTTGATTATGCATTGTGTTAATATATCTATTTTGTTCATGATGTGTATAACCCTAATGTCAGAATCCCAGTCACTAACCACTGGGATAAAAGGGCTTGTTTGTGTAGCGGGTGAGTGCGCCCATAACCCCCCAGGCCAACGTGCATGTAACCCTTCCCTAGGATCAATCGGGGATCACCAGTGGACCTCTGACACCCCCCCGCACTGGGATGCCCGAGGTGCACACACCGGGATTCGAACCCGAGACCTTCGCTCTGATACCATGTCAGAATCCCAGTCACTAACCACTGGGATAAAAGGGCTTGTTTGTGTAGCGGGTGAGTGCGCCCATAACCCCCCAGGCCGCCATGCCTGTAACCCTTCCCTAGGATCAATCGGGGATCACCAGTGGACCTCTGACACCTAACTGTCTTCGCATTTTGCATATTGCATCATCCGTGATCTTGATGATCCTCGACCGGTTATTGTATCTTTTATTAGGTCAAAGATCATCAAGATCACGAGTGATGCTATTGTTGCTCCAGTCTTCTTGTTCTCATCGCTGCAGTCGATGTCCGCAGCGTCACTTCGTACGTTATGCATGTTGTGCATAGTTATCACGTTTGTAATGCATGTTAGTCCACACTAAAGATAAGGTCTATTCTACAACATGGGAACCTGCTGAAAGCAAATTCAAAAGGCAATACATGCATGCAATTCTGAAATTTAATCGGTTAGCATGAACCCTGTTCAGCACTGCTCTCATTGCATTGCTGGGCTCCAGCCATTGCAACAGTCGCTGTTGCAATCTGCTCATTGATGGGGGAAAGAGAACCGATAGGTGGTGGGAAGGGCGATGAGTTTAGAGAGGCAAGAAGGGGACAAAAGGTGGGGGACAAGGGAAAGTGGGGGCAAGCGGGAAATACAAGTGGAGAGGAATAAAGGGATGCATCAGAGGGAAGGAGAGAGGTGAAGTGGAGGAAGGAGAGGAGAATGGAAAAAAAAAGGTAAGGGAGAAAGCAAGGGAAGGGAGAAGATTACAAATCAAGAAAACAATATGCGATGACATAGGACAACAAAGGGGCACACCATTTAAAAGGGGTAGAATGCAACAAAGATGTAAGAGGGGCTTAAGAGGGAAATGTCAGAAATGAACTAGCACAGAGTTTGGTACAAGTAGGAAACCCTAACTTTGTGTACCCCCTAAGGTGTAACCCACTACAGCCTACACAATATAAACATACAATGTTTGACACACCCCCATAGGCGCAGTGGGAGACAACCACAGGGTCACAAGACCAGTCAAAGCAAAGCAAGCTCAGGGTGGATCTCAAGGATTCCACACAAATTCCGAGCACAAGCAAGCGGTCCCAAGACCAGTTCACATGCAGGTTTATAACAAAGCAAGAGATACAGTGATCACAACCTAGCAAAAGTAAACAAGTAGGCATATATATATAGTGATCACAGTACAGGCAAGGTCAAGAGGTAAGCAAGTGAGGCCCAGTGGGTACAAGGCCTAGCAGAGTGCAAAAGCGCTGATGGTCACAAGGCTGAAGCGCCTTGGTGAACACATCGGCAGTGTTGGCCTCCGTGGCCACGTAACGCAGACAAAGCTGACCACGCTGCTGCAGCTCTCGAGCAAGGAAGTACCGCAGAGCGATGTGCTTCGTTCTGTGCTCCAGTCTGTGCTCCTCACACAAGGCAATGGCAGCCTTGTTGTCGACGTACAGCACTGGAGGAGAACGAGGCCGCTCTCCGAGGTCGGTCAGCAGGTAGGTCAGCCAGCGTAGCTCCTGAGCAGCCATGGCTGTGGCGTAGATCTCAGCCTCACAACTGGAGCTGAGAACAGAAGAAGAGCGAGTAGAACGCCAAGAAACTGAGCCAGAGCCAAGGCTGAAGGTGTAACCCTGGGACGACCGCTGAGTAGCCTGGTCGTCTGCCCAAGAAGCGTCTGAGTGCCCTGTGAGAACAACCCGGTCTCGCCCTCCAAGCACAAGCCCCATGCCCGACGTACTGCACAAGTAGCGCAACACCCTCTTAGCAGCATCCATGTGCTCCTTCCGGTGACGGCCAGGAGCGACATAGCGTGCTAGGATGCTAAGAGGGTATGCAAGGTCAGGTCGAGTGCAGGTCATCAGGTACATGAGGCAGCCCACAAGCTCTGGATACGGGCCACTCGGCTCTACGGACTCATCCGAAGGCAGAGCTGAGAGCGAGTGATCGGTAGGCAGAGGAGTGGACTGAGGCGAGGAGTACGTGAAGCGGAAGCGCTGGAGAACCTGCTGCACCATGTGTGACTGAGTCAGGGTGATGGTGCGCCGCGCTCTGTCCCGGGTGATCCGCAAGCCAAGATAGCTCGTCAGCTCACCCAGGTCTGTGCACGTGTGTCTCCTCTGCAGTTCCGACTTCACGTGAGCGAGTGCCGCGGTGTCAGCAGTGGCAAAGACCAAGTCGTCGACGTACACGAGGATGTAGAACGGCGGCAGCGAGGTGTCGGTGCGTAGAAACAGCGACGGGTCAGCAGTAGAGGGAGCGAACCCAAGAGCCGCAAGTGTCGTCCTCAGTGTGTCGTGCCACTCACGTGGCGCCTGGCGGAGACCGTAGACCGGCCGCTGAAGCCTCCACTGGGTGCCAGGAGGAAATGACCCAGTGAAGCCAGGGGGGCGGCGCAGCCAGATCTCCTCGTGCAGGCTGCCCTGCAAGAAAGCAGTGCTGAAGTCAAGAGAGTGAAGCTCGTAGTCGCGGTGAGCGGCTATGTGCAGCAGCACCCGAAGAGTAGTCATCTTCGGGGTGGGGGAGAAGGTCTGAAAGAAGTCTACTCCCTCTCGCTGACTGAAGCCTCGAGCCACGTAGCGCGCCTTGAAGACAGGCGGAGAACCCGGCGGCCGCTTCACCCTGAAAATCCACATGCCACTGACGATGTTCGCCCCAGGAGGGGGAACCTCGTCTACGTAGGTGCCTGTGGACTTCCAGGAGGCCATCTCTGCGTCCATGGCTGTCTGCCACTGAGAGGAGTAGGGACCCGCCATCGCCTCAGCGTAAGAGCGTGGGGTCGGGATGTCTGGTGCATCCGGGTCTCCCTCAGGGGCAACTAGCAAGGACACGAGATGGGGCAAAGCAGCAGCAAGGCAGTGGAACTCCTCCTGTCTGTCCTCAAGGACGTCCGTGCCGAGGGCACACTCACCCCCGACGGACGGAGGACAGGCAGACGCAGACTCAGACCTAGCGACAAGGCTGGCAGCGTAGTCTAGGCGACAGCGAGCAGCAAAGTCAACCAACTCAGCGACCAGAGCAGACGCAGCAGAGGACTCAAAGGTCGGGTCAGTGACAACTGTAGCGAGGAGACGCGTAACAGTGGGACTGGCAGCACGACGGGAGTCAGACTCCGGGTCAGGAAGAGTAGGAAGAGAGGACGCAGGAGGAGACGGCAGCGGGACACGCTGCGGAGCAGTGGAGGGACGCAGAGTCATGTAGTGAGTGCCAGGGACAGGAGGAGGACGCTCACGTGGGACACGACGACCAGTGCGAGCAGTACGAACAGGCGACGCAGGACGAGACTCAGGCTCACGACGCTCTGTAAGACCTCCTGTGGGACCAGCGTAAGGGGAGGGAGCAGGGAGAGGCGAGACAGGCGGTAACTGTGACTGCGGCTGGACAGGCAGAGGACACTCGACGGAGGAAGGAGGACAAGGAGGAGGAGCCTGACCAAGAACCTGCTGAAGGAGCGGTACGAAGTACGGTCGCGGCCGCGCAGCGTCTCCAGAAGCAGCAGGGACACCAGTGGCAGCCCCAACGCCCGAGTCCTCAGCACCAGCAGCAGCTCCAACGCCCGAGTCCTCAGCACCAGCAGCAGCACCACCGGTCGGGTCCTCAGCACGAGCAGCAGCTCCAACGCCCGGGTCCTCAGCACCAGCAGCAGGGGCACTGGTCAGGTCCGTTTGACAGGAAACGCACATGACAGTTGCCTTTTACTATGCAGACTTATTTCTCTTGACTCGCGATGGCCTGGCCCGCGCACCGCTTCTGCTTGCCTCGTTTATCCTTGAAACTACAGGAACAACGGTGTCATCAACAGTGGATGGGGGCGGCAACTGCGTGTCAATGATTTGAGACGCATGAAATTGCATCTCCGTCCGACTCGCATCCACCAATGCCTCCTCGCTCATGCGAGTCTCCACTATCTTCTTTTTTTCTGCCTCTACCATTCGCGCTTTTGCTGCTTGCACTACCATCCTCTTTCTCCACATCTTCTCACGCCCTCAGACCTCCATCACCCGCTACTCGCACCAGCTGCACCTCCTGAACATCGTCGTCACCCCCTTCTACATTCTCCTCACCCTCTTCCTTGCCCTCCTCCTCGCCCTCTTCCTTGCCCTCCTCTTCGCCCTCCTCCTCGCCCTCCTCCTCGCCCTCCTCCTCGCCCTCCTTCTTGCTCTCCTCCTCCTTGCCCTCCTTCTCGCTCTCCTCGCCGCTGCTCAAACTGACAGAAGTCGAAGGTGCTTATTGGATCCTGCTCGCGCTTTGAGTTCGATCTTTTGAACACGCGTCACGAACACGATTTTGAGCAGCCGACGCGACCGTTTTTACCGAGCACGAGGCGCGAGCATATATGCTCGAGCACCGACATTTTCACACCCCCAATTCGAAGAATGCTCCGACACTCCGAGTGAAGAAGGCATGTGGCGATCTGCTCGGAACACCAGAGTCAAGCGAGGACCTTTTTGAACATGTCAGCTCGCTGACTCAACCAGTTCAAAACGGGTAAATCCGGACCGTTATCAGAACGGCGCGAAAAATCATAACGTATCGACGCCGTCGATAAAATTCGCGCGAACATTTAGAATATTCGTCGGCGAATCGAAGCCTAGCTGAGTCATGAAAATAAAACGAGGGAAACGCGAAGCTGTTCGCGCCTCGCTAGTATTAGAAACAGTTCAGAGGTGTTGGATAGCTTGCAGTAGAAACAGCCTAGGGCTTATAAAACATGTATGTTCTGAATAAAAAAAATAATAACTCTGCCTATCAAGCACTCTCCCACACTGCTACCAAGATTACGTTTTAACTACCAAAAATTCTCTACCTACGCCGTGACACAGGGCCTCCGCAATGGCAGATCTACGCCACTGAAAATCTCTTTCGACAAACCCGGACCCTTGGATAGGTGCTGACTTTGGTCAGACACCCAAGGACCCTCGGAGGTGACCCCAAGAAGAGTTGTTTCAGCGTTCGTAGCACTGTCAGCAGTAGGAACTAAGTACTCATTCACGTAACAGGGATAGGGCGACCAGCGTGCGGGTCGGGTAGCGCGGTGCGAGCTGCGCGGGGTGGGCAGCGGACGAGTGTTACGACGTGCTCCTTCACGGGCGCTGCAACGAGCGCAAAAAAAAAAAAAAAAAAAAAAAACAACAACAACAACAACAACAACAACAACAACAACAACTATAACAACAACAACGGTCCTTAGACCATAGTAGCTCTAGATACCATGTCACAACCTAGGAACTTAATAGCCTAGGGTTTAGGCTAGTGTCAAGATGAAGAGAAAGCAATGAAGAGTGGTTGCAATATTGAAAGGGAAGGTGGCAAAGGGGGGTACACCACTTAGAACAATAAGATGATACTACACTATCTGGTCTTCATGCAGTTACATAAAAAATATATATAATTTCTAACAAACACCTACTAGTTAATTGTATATGCGGTCTATCATCGGTATATGCTTGTGTGCTTCTGTATCTGTGTGTGTGCATGTATGTGTGTGCACGCGCGCGTACGCGTACGTGTCTACATACGTGCACATCAACCTTGGATGGTATTGGTTGTTTTGTTTCAAAGTTTGGGGTATATAATTCGAGATTGTCATCTTCGTTGGTGCAACGTGTCTTCGTTGTTTCAACACCCCCATCAATCTCGGTTGCAACATTGGTGCATATTAGCAACAACTTCCAGGTACATATGTTCATGTTCTTTCACTCACGTCTGTTAATTGTGCTCGTTTCGATATGTGGTGTTATTATGTATCGTGCTGCAATCTTAGATTGTCATCATCATTGGTGCAACGTCTCTTTGTTGTTTCAACGACCTTATCAATCTCGGTTGCAACATTGATATGTATTAGCATCCATTTTGGAGCGTTTCGCATGCACTTGAAATATTATGGTTTCTCTCATTACGTGCTTAGTAGTGCCTAGGGTTTGGGTAGGCAACTATCGAGAGTAGGGAGGAAGAGAGGTTTCATTATGGCAACAAGTACAAAATATAGTTCAAGGCAAGGTGGGAAAGGGGGTACAACATCAACATAGAAACACTACAATGATATCACACTAATTGAATATGCATACACTTACACAATTCTAACATCCCTCCTTACCTGCATGCAACACTAGCTAGTATAGGGGTGCTCAACCCGAAGTGCAGCAATCACCATGCCTCAACTGGGCCCACGTGGTCGTATCCCATGGTGGGATGCCCGCCTACGGTTTAACCCCCGGAGTGGATGTCCAGTGTGCACGTCAAGGGTGACCACGCCCAAATACGACGGACCTAAAGGGAGGGCGGCGTACGATCGATGGAAAGAACGGGAGAGAGAAGAACGGAAGAGAGAAGAACGAGATAAAATGAAGCGCGGTGCAGAAGACTTCAACGTCACCCCCTCACGACTGTGCGCAGCTGCCCACGACTGTGCGCGGCGGCCCACGACTTTGCGCGGTTGCGCGTTTGTGGCTACGGGATGGGACGGTACGGGGTGGGGCGGGTGGCACTGTGAGTGTCTTAACAGGCACTGCAACGGGCGCCATTAGAAGTATAGACCATGTCCTCAGATCGTAGTAGCTCTAGATACCATTTCAAGATATGCTTAGTAGTGCCTAGGGGTTGGATAGGCAATTATGGAGAGTAGAAGGAAAGAGGGGTTTTATTATGGCAAAGTGTTAGAGTTGCACATTCTTATATAACTGTATGCATAACTATTGGTGGAGTATCATCTAAACTTCTCTGTTAGTGGTATACCCTCCTTTTGACACCTTCCCTAACACTATATCTTATATCTTTCTCATTAGCCAACCACTTCCCTCTCGCCACGCTTGATCCTAGCCAAATGACGGCCATAGTTACTAAGTTAACTTAATTTTCAACATGGTATTAGGGCAGGTCCTATTCTTAAGGACTGAGGTCTTCTTCTTCTTCTTCTTCTTCTTCTTCTTCTTCTTCTTCTTCTTCTTCTTCTTCTCTTCGTCTTCTTCTTCTT